CTTTCATTTTGGGCAAAAAAAGTCGTCAATCATCACACGGTAGCGCTCGCCATTCACAGTAACGTTCAGGGCATTGTCATATTTGAAGAAGTACGACCCATTGATGCCACCGACCCATAATCCACACCAATAAGTGACTTTTTCGGGATGCATCGGTCTTCACTCCAGATGATGCAATTTTGCTTTGCCTCACAATTATTATCATTATTATTATTTTTTACCTAAGTATGCGCTGGTCAAGCCCTATCCCGTGAAGCCCCTATACATTCGGGAGGGCAACTACCACTACTCCCTACACCTAGGGTAAGTGATCATTGGATCCGAGAATCATGTGCGCAATGAGCCAAGAATGACAGCCTTCTGCATCTGTCCGGCTAAGATTTCTGCATTAGTGCTGCAAGCCGGTATGATTTTAAGATTCGAGAGTAGAGGGCATCATTCCACCAAGGACTCCAATAATAATCAGAACAACTATTGCGACAGAGTGATCTGGATAGAGTCTGCGGAGTTCGAAGAGAAAATCTCGATATTTTATCCGTTTTTCCTCGTTCCCCACCCTCATGTGGGGAACGAATAGTTCCAATAAATTCGGCAGTTCTCGTTCCCCACAACGAATTCAATATTCCCCGGAGCGTGTCTCGTCAATACCGTAAGAGTGTCTTAGATGGTAATATAGCCGTGTTATGTCGATGGATATAACTGATAATTGAGAGTATTGCTGAAAAGTATATGGACACACCATATTGAGACTTCCCCCCTATTTTTGTGTTTTCAATCCCATCGAGTTGATTTGGGAAAACTTGAAACAAAGCATCAGGCGTAAAAATAATTTTCCAAAATTTGATAAGAAGGTGATAGAGCTAGTTAAAGAAGAAGTTAAAAAAGTAATTTTAGTTAAAAAAGAATATATTGAGATCGGACATTTCCATAGCATTGGTGGAAATAAATTCATTATTGATTTAAATGGCGACAGTAATAGTGAACTGGAGAATATGGAAGAGGAATTATCAGCAGCTTTCGATTGTATATATTTTGAATGATGCAACTAATTTCCATTTATTTTCAGTATTTAAATATTGAATTTCACAAAAAGGATTTGAAGCTTTATATCTTCTATTAATTATCTGCGAGCGCTTTCGACAGCTGGTCGTACTGTCATCTTCTAGGCACTCCTCAAACAAAGAACGGAAAGTTATGTACCAAATAGCGAACGAAAACGGAACTAGAAAACAAAATCAAACAAAAAATACAGAACAAGGATCAAGCCATCCCAACAGACAAAACAACACAACGATGGACAGCATTTACGTACGTAGGACCCAAACCAAAAAACTAACAAACATCTTCAAACCACTGAACATCAACATCTCATACAAGCCAAACACGAAGATAACACAAAAAATTAACAACTTTGAAAAAGAAGAAGACAAAGACCAAAACGGGATATACAGTATACAATGCTCGGACTGCAACAAATTCTATATCAGCCAAACCAGGAAAAAACTGATCCAAAGGTACAATGAACACAAAAAGACATACATAAATACAATAGTATATAAATCAAACCTCGCAACACACGCCATACAAAACAAACATAATTTCGCCCCACCAGAGAACATAAAACTCATAAAACAAGTCAACAAGGGAAGCCGCATGGACATTTGGGAAAACTTGAACATCCATAAATTCAACAATCATAAATCACTTATCGAGGAACAAGTACAAATCAAAACATAACAATACCTCATATTCAATATATTAAACAAAACCATACACATTCCTAGAGAAGATCTAACACACAGAATAGTACCTGATGCAGTACAAATAGAGGCAAATTTACCTAAAGTACCTGAAATACCTCAGTTGACACGATCTGACCGTATAAAAAGGCAGACGACAGGATGACAAGTTCAGTTTGAGGAGTGCCTAGAAGATGACAGTACGACCAGCTGTCGAAAGCGCTCGCAGATAATTCATAGAAGATATATATATAATATAGTTATTGTGATTCTTATATAATCAGAAATGATTATTGAATAACAAAATTAGTTAGCTCCCTAACTATTTTATTAAAGAGAAACTGCTAGAAAGTAGGTAGATATAGTGCTTATATCGTTTACTTGAACTATAACAAGGACTTAATATTCAATAATATCAAATAACAAAACATCAAAATAAAATAGGCATTTCGGAACAAACTCTTTGATTTTCTGGAGACTCAACTTAAAACACTTATTTTGGACAAGAATAAAATATATTACGCAATGAATATGTAGAATTAGTCAATAAAGACACACCCGAAGAAGTCATTGTATGGCGAAACAAGTGTTGCGTTTTTGTAAAATCGTTCAGTGTAAATCTAAATCAATAAAGTGTTTTTTTAATACGTCACTTGTGTGTGTTGTGCCTGTTCATGAATGGTAAAAAGTTGGTTTTCGCATTATGTTTTCGCATGCTTTCCTCATTCTTTACGTTCCTTCACTAAACCCTGTTTGTTGTCGAATTAACCTTCATTTTTTCAAATTGTTTGAGTACAAAAAATCTTCCAACTCCTCAAAACATGTAGAGAATAAACGATGATTTTTGTATGAAAGACCAGAGATCACTCAATGTCTTCTTGAGGATTTTCCTGGGATTCGCAAATTTTCACAGAGATTAACAAAGCTATTAGGGTGAAAAAAAGACAAATAGTTTATGTGTTAACATATATATTACAAATATTTACATTTTCAACTGTACAACCAGATCCTTATTTGGTTTGACAGTATCTTAGTATACTTTTTATTGCACTTCAAATGTTATGATAAAAATGTATCTATCTATTCACTATAATCAAAATTCTAAAACAATTGCTCTGCCATACAGAATTATAAAAAAATATATACACTTCCAAAAATTATTGAGCTGCCTCAACGATTTCATATGATCGTCAGAAATGGGCCTAAATATAGTAATAAGTAATGGCAATGACTTTTTTGCATTCATCAGAGAAGAAGTAAGTCAAATAATTAGTTTGACGTCGGGTTCGGTAGACTTTTGAGGATCAATCATTACTTTATAATCTTTCAAAATAACGAATTCTTCCATATATAATTTTGGAGTGGTTATAGTCATATATTAAGAAGTTCAATTTCTGCAAGTATTCATAATGTTTCAGTGGAAAATAAAAATTATCACTTCAAAATTGTTTCCATAAACAATTCTTCTAGTCCAGGTCTGAATGTAAGTTCCAAAGCGTTTTATTTTTGAGAATATGAATTCGTAATCTCACATATTTCGTATTGCTTTAATGTTTCCCCTGGTCGAAGTTTTCTGTGAACCAATTTATTATTACTAACCAATTCAGTTCAGATGTGGATATGAATTTAAAATTAAAAAAAAATACATTTCCAGGAAAGTAATATGTTGAGAATAAGTAATTAGCTTTCATTTTAATAAATTCCATATTCACTTCATGAGACTGATGAAATATGTTTACAAAATCATTTCATGTCATTGAATATTTCTGAGATGATTGTATTGCAATCACCTCTTATTCTACGCATGAATTGTGGAATGAACTGAGGTTATGTAACATATAATCAAGATTCATTCCCACAAAAAAAACTACAGGCGTCATATCAGGTAATCAAGCGGACCGTTCTATTGAACCATGTCAGTCTATACGGCGGTTTGGATAATCGTCATCCATCCACACTCGAAACAGATGAGAAAATGTCCAATCTTGCTGAAACGTAACATCAGTTGAATATTTTCTTGGGTTTGTCTGAACTATTCCATTGAAAATAGACCCGATACGGTTTAGCAGCATATTCAATTACAGAGGTTGGAAAATGCGTTAAATTATTCTGAGATACTACCCTGTTCATTTCAGAAATGAATGGCCCCATTGTAAAACTCACGAAATTACCCCCATTTCAATATGCATGAAATCAAGTTGTAAAGAGACTTCATTTTTATCAATTTTTCGAAACAAACAGGAGTGCGTTTTATTTAAATTTTTCATTATAGTTCTCAAGATCTCTCTCTAGAGTAGGGAGGGTGAGTGTAACCCCACAGCACTTAGGCCACATGTGACCCATTGTATATCCTCCCGAGGAGTTGTCCTCGTAGGTCATCGTCCATCCTGTCCTTTCCAGGAAGGAGGACAGGTTCCTGGGAGACATCTCCTTTATATCGGCAGGTGTAGCCCAAGACTCGCCGAACACACACTCTCTTATTGACGATAACTCCGGGCACTCGCATAGGATATGCCTGACAGTTTCATCTTCCTGTTCACACATGCTGCTTAGAGGTGTGTCCACTAGCCCCTTATTATGGAGGTGTTTCCTTAGTTGACAGTAGCCAGTCAGAAATCCTACTGTTAAGCGTAGATTTTTCCTGGTCATCGCCAGATATTTCTTCGGCGCCAGCTTCCCAGAATCACTCAAGGTGATCCTTTGATTCCATCCCATCCCTTTAACCCACCTGAGGATAGTGTTATTATCTACCGAGGCTTTGGCTAAATCTTGGTGACACTCTAGTACTAGCCCTGAGGTTACACGTTGTCTGTTTAAGGCTAATGGGGCTTGTCTGCTGTCAGTGCAAATTTATATGTTTTTGCCAGGAATTCCTTTCTGGTTATTTCTTTTGTGGCGATTGAGATATCAGCCAGTTCTGTTTGGACCACGCTGGTATTTTTTCCCATTCCCCACTCAATCCTTAGGCTCAGTTCTTAAGATATATGAATGGAATTGGCCGATACTTGATGAAAATCCATGAAAGCCACGATAGTTCTTGTTCATTCGCAGATTTTTTAAAAGAATGTGGACTGTTATGATATCATTAAATAAGCAATTATTAGAGAGATAATTGAAAGATAAATCAACACAATTACAAGACATCCATACCTTGTTCCATTCAAAGTGCACACTGTAGGTAAAATATTTAACCGTTCCCAAAACTTCAAGAGTGATTTTTTTTAATTTAGGTTTCCTCTTAACAAAAAAGGCAAATTTCCCTTCCAGTTTGATTGTAAATATTTCATTTTCCAACGATACAGAACATTTTGTAAGAACCAACAACAAAAACTTTGTGAAACTCTAATATCACTTGTAGCCCCTCAAAAGCTTCCGAACATCCCTTTCAATCACCTCACATCGCACTCCCACCTATACACAGTCCAAAATGTCTCATCCCCTTCTAATGAGGGGGCGCCTGCGGATGAAACCCATGCAAGTCCAACCCTGCCCTCAACGCCGCGTGACTGGCCAGAACCCTCCCCGCTAGGTCTCCCAGGGCTCTCTCCAGCTGCTGGTGCTGGCTCCTCACCGCGAACCTGTTCACGTGGACCGGAATCGGCACTACCAATTTGTTCTTCTGCTGAGCGCCCTTTATACCTTGATGCGGCCCTGTGCCCAAGCCGGCCTTGACCCGTTTCCATTTGGCTCTGCGGTTCTGGAACCAAATTTTCACCTGTACCTCACTGAGGCGCAGGGCCGATGCTATTTGGCTACGTTCCGTGAGGGAGAGGTACTTTTTGGCGTGAAATTCTCGCTCTAGCTCCAGGAGTTGCTCGCTGGTGAAGGCGGTGCGTCGTCTGCGGGCTTTGGTGGAGCCCGGGCCGCCGTCTGAGTTTTGGGGGTCTTCGAGATCGTCGTCCATGTCGGAGCCTGGAACGAAAGAAGTCGGTAAGGCTATGAACACATGCTTCAAAAATGGTACAGTTTATATTTATGTAAATTGGGGTGGCTTCATTTCTACTTTTAAAAACTTCAGCTCTGATCCCATTTGCAAAATGTTAACTCCGTGGAACAAGACTGGCTTTCCAGAAGACGAAGATGTGTTGAAACCACTTCAATGGGTTTACTGGCTGAATAGTCCCATTGGCGATACAAAGTGTACTATCACATACATTCACATAGTGTACTATGATACATAGTGTACTAAGGCAAATCACGAAAGAGTATAGAATAGTGATATATATGAATTTAAAAATATCAATGTTACTTGAAAAAATCAAAACCAAAATACCATAATATCAAGGTTATTAGATGGAAGTGTCATAGCCCTAATGAAATTTTAACAAAATTTTGCAATCAAGTGTGATTTTATTGGCTAAATTGCCAAATAGGCGTTGTTGATATTTTAAAAACCGCTTTAAATGTGTCTGTTCCAATTGAAACCCTCATGTAAATGAGTATCTAACCATCAAGAAAAAAAATTGATTTGACTTTTTCTAATTCAATTACAATCTGTTCCACATTCTGATCAGATACGGTTATTGTTGTGTCGTTGGCAAACTTAGGTACAACTTATACAAAGGTACGTGAATATTGTACAAAGTCATTTAAATAAAGAAGAAATAGTAAGGCGCTAAGAACTGAACCCTGTGGTATACCTAATTCCACGCCACACGTTGTAGGTCGAACAATAGTGACAAAACATGTTCGTTGTTGTCTGCCTCTGTTTATAAACAAGTGAGTAGATGTTACGACGTTGTCACTATAGACGTTTCTCTGAGAATAACTCACTAAAGGGTTCTTTTTTTAATTTTCGTTCATTCTTTTAGACGCACTTTTTCTAAGGGCATAAATAGAGCGTTGACCAGGAATGACCTTCCCGTTTACATCTTCGGCTGAGGTGAGTTTCGAATAATCAAAACACACTTTCCTGGCATAATTATTGTGACGTTTGCCGGATCATTTGAGAGCAACTTTCCGGATTGCTTGCTTAGGAAAACAAACTCAAGTAAATGGTTATATAGACGATAAAGTTTATAACTCATATCTAAATCATCCGGACAATAATGTCCAAAAACGAAATAGCCCATGGACGATTTGACATAGAACGGTGAAACCCGTTTGCCAAAGTAAACATCTCAAAATCGTCAAAATGTCTAACTCAGAATTATTTTGGCATAGAAAATGATCACTGTTCTGTTCATGAGGGAGACATTAGAAATAGAATCCGAATACGTACAGTCTTCAAAGTTTTCAGCTGATTATTAATTTTTCTTCAGTAGAAAAATCTCCAGAGAACATAGAGACATAGTCATACTGATATGAATAGGACTTGAACTTCGATTTAAATTAACAACCAGTAGGTTGGCAAAATTTAAAAATATATTTTGAGTGTATCCAATTTTTTTTCATTACCACTGCTCAATTGTTCGCATTTTTTCAAATATTTAATCTGCCGGTCTGGTCTAAGTAGACTAAGTAAACAATCTCACTTACTTACTTATCAGGACGGTAGCCAATTGTGGTGGCGTAAGTGGGTTGTCGATCGGAAGATCAATGTTCACTGCGTATAATTCAACTTATGCTAGAAATCGCACGTCCGGAGGTAGGACCCCGCTAATCTTCAACCAGTACAAGTTTTGATTTCTGAGGGTTGTCGTTTATCGAAAAAAAAATGAAGTGGTTGATTATTCAACTCAGTCCTTCAATTCCTCATCTTGCACACATAGGGGTAGATATGAAGATTTTAAAAATGGAATCACTCAATGAATCTAAGATTTGAGTTGTTTGAAGTGTTCTTGCCAAGAGTTGAGAACGAGACACAACATTTTCTCAAATAACACTCAGTAAAAGTGAATTAGCCTCAATGCTCTGAAATGTTGTTGGGGCATTTTAAAGCCAAATGGCATGCTAAAATTTCAAATAGATCCATGCTTCAATTGGTTGACGGAAAACAGATTGCTTAAGCAGATGTTTCGATGGTAAGAGCAATTTTCGTTTATTCATAATATTCAATATAAATGTAATGAATACTACTACCAGGTCAAAGTAGCAATATATTTGAATTTTCTCAGTTCAACACAGAGATATATGGTGTTTGCCATTGAACATTTATCATATAATATCGTATATGGGGTTTACTTGTACTTATAGTAATCCACTACTGATTTTCATTTTCATTTTCATTTTCAAAAGTATCAACTCTGAGGTCGATGTTGAATATAACATATGGGTTTTTCCGTTATGTGGGTTTTTCCGTAAGAGGACAGGTAGTTGAGTCTGACAATAATGCCTAGTATCGCTGATGAGATCTATGGCAGGTCTCAACAGCGCTGTTGGATTACGAATGGCTTGCTTTTGGAATTTGATGTCATCTATTTATATAGAACTTGAATCAGTGGAAACACACGTTAAAAGGTAAGTCCTCGTTAATCCTTAGCTCGCACAAGTTTCGACTTCTGAGGGTTGTCGTTCATAGAGGTGCGACAGCTAGTTAACGAAAAAACAGATTTTAAACACTCTTCTGTATCCACAGCCATCCAATTTAGGCAAAGTAAGAACACACACGTAAAACAAAACGTAAATAATGTCCACTTAAGTATAACACAGTAAGAATACGGTACTTCTAGTAAAATATGTGATACATTTAAACACGATAATGATAAAAATGATAGAAATCAATAAACAAGGAAGCATCAAAAAGTACATTAGACTAGATGTTGATCTGATGCATTTATTGATCATTGAATATATACGTGGACTGTTTTTAAACAATAAGAAGAATGTACAAATTTCAAGGACTCAGTACATTCGATCCGCGATTTTTCAATTTTTTCATGTGAGTACACTCGTCTAGCAGTTTCAGCTGTTAAATATGTTTGTGGTTTACGTGGTAGGCGAATTTTAAAAAAATGGATCCTCTTATTTTTCAAACAGATAGCGTATCAATTGAAATACGGAATATGTTATTCGAATGGTCAAGGTTAGCGTAATGATGTAAATCAACCTACGTAACTGATGGGTAATATTTAAACTTACGGGTCTTAATTCTCACAGTAGAGAAACTATAGAATATACCATCCGTTTAAATGAATCAACATGGTCATTAGCGTTCGTTAGTTATTCTCAACCCTATATTAAACAGTTTACATGACTATAATTCCAATGAAATGCATTCGCCGATTACTATTGTTCGTTTACTAATGGAAAACCATAATCCCCTTATGGCGTTTAGGCGTTTTATTGAATTATTCAGTTGATAATGACTCGCCGAAGGGTTGTTTTAACCATAATACCATCAATTTGGCCTGTTTCCGTTCGGTCTAACTTGATATTAAAAGGAGCAGTCTTTATTGCGCATTCGTTGGGGTTAAAACTAAAAACTTCCATCAAATAGATACTCGTAGAGAGACGTGCATTTTTCAGTTTTTCAGTTTATTAAAAAGTAGTTTCTTTTCTTGTGCGTTTAGGATCAAGAAATGCACTTTTATCTGAACTCTTTGATCTGAGTGAAACGACTAAATTGATACCATCCTTCGTAGGTGGTCTCTGTCTATCCCACGTCTTGAATATTATTCAAATTACTGTCTTTTCCACGTAATGGATTCTCGATGCAAATTCGGCATTGTTTGGTTAACAAGTTTTGTCGAACAATTCGAAAACATATTGGCAAAATCTCTCTGGAATTATAATCGACATCGGGGTTCTTTGACACCCAATAAATGTTCATCATTTCCAAGAAATAATATACTTATATTGGTGTTCTGTACATACGATTATAAAAAATGTCTTCAATTTCGTGAAATAACTACAGAAAATTCATTCAACTTTATCAAAAATTCCAAAATCATTGATATTTTGTTGAAATTCTGTTGTTCAGAACGTTTTTTCAGGGAACGACGAATTTTTGAAAGAATTTGACGAACTCGAATGAAGTTTTATCTTCTACAAAAAATAATTTGAGGATTTTTCGACAATTGTACAAAATTACCCCAAAAATTCATAGTATTCACTTGAAATCTGGACAAATTTGTCATAAAAACTCAATATAATAAATTTGAAAATTTTAATGAATTACTTCACTCAATTTCAATGAAATCGCATGAAAATTTCAACTAGAATATGATTTTGAGAACTTTGAATCATAATTAGGAAATTTGATGAGCATTTGATTCGAAATTTGTGAAAAGTTCCAAAAATTACTACTGATACTACTAATTTATTTCATTTCACTGTTGATATTTTGTTGAAATTGAATACAGTTTTGTATATTTCTTTTGGAAATTTTCTTCATCTACACCGACGAAATTTCAGAGAATTTAAGCAAAATAGATTGAAGTTTCAAACTGCTCTACAAGACTTTTCCAAAATTTCAAACAATTTTAGACGATATGTGTGATTGATGTCTTGTTTACTTTATGGTAATTCAAAAACACTTTTGTCTAAATACCACTGGTAAATTGTATTTATACGACCGATTTCGGATTTGACACCATCATCAAGTATAAAACTGAATTCTGAATTTTGAAATATCGATTTTATTAGAATTTTCAGGTTCCTGCAAGAACAGGTATTTGAGAGACAGGATGCCAACTTAAATTTTCAGGGTGGTATTTTAATCAAATCAATAATTTTAGACGACTATTTAATATTTTTGAAAGATCTGCTTTCTGAAATTTTACAAAATCAATTTCTGAATTCATCTATTTAAATCTGAATTTGTTTTCACGGTGTTATTCATCCTGTTTCAATAAGACCTAAATATAAATTATATGATTTGCCGATATTTACAAAAATTATATAATCAAATTGTCTGATAAAACTTCTGAAAATGTTATTGAAAACTGCGTAGAAATTTCAATTAATTTAGTTCTAAAACTCTCATCATACATTCGACGAATTATTGCTCGATATCTATTCACACAAACTAATAGAAATTCGATTAAAGTTTGTGAAAAAATGAAACTTCTGAAAATTTTAAAAATTGTAGAAGTTTCACTACATATCTCTCTAGAAAAATAGTTTGTCACCAAAATATTCGTGAATAATCTTTGATGAAATGTTCAATTCTCAGGAAAGGTTGTTACAGACTCCGACGGGATTTTGACAAATTTTGAAAAAAATCGTATGAAATTTCACATTTTACACACGAAATTACTACAAACATTCGTCAATTCAACAGTTTTAAGTTAATTTCAGCAAGTATTTCACGTAGAAGAAATAGAGAAGCTCAAAACATACAAAAATGCTACTAATATTTAAAAAATATTTCAATTCCGATTCAAATTTCACTACAAAAAGCTAATCTTATCATGTGTCCGCTTTCACATGTTCCCAAATTTCAGTGAACTGCATTTTTTCGTAATTTTACTAACGAAAAATGAGTGCCTAATTTCATAAAATCGGTGTTTTCAATTTTTCAAACATCGCGACCATTCTTAGGAAAGTCTGGAAAGCTTTGGAAAGCTGAAGTACGTTTTCATCATTATACTCAATACTTTTTCATTCGAAACTTTTTATCAAATCAGAATTTTCCCAAAAATAACATCACTTACACCGATCTTATACAAATCAGGGATAGGTTTCTAGAAATCACTTTGAAAGTTCAACCAGCCTGTGGAAGGAAGTTATCTATTGAATCCAATATAATTCAAGATTGGAAACCATCTGACTTTTCTATTTCTTTCCAATCTCTGGAAATCATTTCATGCTTTTTATGACATCCCTTTTAACAATCTTGTTTTATGTTATTTGTAGGATATTTGCTTGAAAAGTGGCTGTCCCACGATTTAAACGATCGATTTATATTGTCACGTTTCGAGGTCTGTTTTTTGTTTTGGCGCAACCAAAAAGATCCTCATTTGGATATGATCGTCAAGTGTGATGGAAAATAGATCTTCTACAACAACAGAAGAAGTTCCGGACAGTGGTTGGACATCGATGAGCCATCCAGGCACTTCCCAAAGACGAAGACCATGGTTTCTGTATGGTGGTCAGCTGCTGGTGTTATTTCACTAAAACTTTCTGCAAGCGTGCCAAACCATATCAGCAGAGTCCTGTTGTGAGGAAATCGACGAAATGTATCGACCTTTGCTCTGCTGAAAAAGCAGAGGTTTCCAGTTTGTGCATTGCACAGCACATATTCTCATCGAACTAGTTCCTGATATGGTTCGCATTTATCAATATCTTCTTTGTCAGATATAGAGCCAACCTATACCAGTTTGCCAGTTTTATTCAGTTTTTACAGCATTTACAGATTTGAATCTTATCCAATTCACGGTGGAGCAGACGCAAAATATGTGCCTACCAAAGCCTGAAGTTGCCTTGTGGAGACTTCATGATCGACAACCATGGTCCTCAATCTAGGCATAGCCTGATTGATAGTCTACCAGGTATTTGTAAGCAAGACAATTGTATGGCTTGGAAAGTAGGTCTCTCATGCTCCCATGGCTGCAAGAACTGCATCCACCAACCAAAAGACTCTCTCCTGAACGCCTCATGGAACCTGTGGCCATCCAGGCAGGAATGTGTGGACCTGGAATCGTATCTGTGGATCTGAAGAGATTCCAGTTGATGGGTCCATATCAAGGTAGTTGGATATGACCCAGCATGACCTTAATATTGATGTTATTGATCTGTTACTGCTTTATTGTTTTTCAAATATAAGTTGGTTTTTACCGTAAATCATAAATGAAAGGTGAAACAACGATAGTCCTTGAGGAATAACTGGATTCATCTCAGTAACTCGCTTCTATCCTTCTTCTAAGTATGACTACTCCGGGACTGCATATTCAGCCATCCTAGACTACTCAAATGATGGGAAACAGGTTGTCGCCATTTTGTGATACCAGTCTTATACAATAATTCTGAAGAGTTTGCAGTCTTCTCTTGTCAGACTGTAACAAGCTTGGGCCATACACAGTATCCGCGTAATTTGCGTGAGATAATACCAAGGCGTCACATAGTAATTTCTTGGACTTTCTATTGAGGATTTCCCTATTCGATTACATTGTTTTCAAGTTGCAATATCTCCTCTTTAGAATTAGCGGAACATGAGGTGAAAATCTGAGAGATTGATCTACTGTGAGACTAAGATTTTTAGTGCGCTCAGACACACTAACATTAACATTATCAAGATGAATCGAAATTTAATTTTGACATCGTTTCCCCATTGCTGTCCTCCAAAATAGCATAGCGACAGTTTTAGAAGGATTGATTATTAGGCAGTATTTTTTAGAGGTGGTTATTAATGAAATCAGGTCTTGGTTGATTTGTTGACATGCTAATGCCAGTGAAATTTCAGGAGATTGCATCTAGATTTGAGTGTCCTGCTTAACTATGAATTTTAGTATACTGAACACATTTGTGGAATTGTGACATATATATCATGAATAAAGCAAGACCTAGGATATAGACCCTTAGGGGACACAAGCAAAGACGGATTATCCCAAATGACACATTGGATTCGGTTATTCAAGTAGAAGTAGCAGAAGTTTTGAAGAAAAAGGTGATTTGTAGGTTATACAACTTGAAATTTGAGAATCTGTTTGGAAAAATAAGGAGTAGGAAAAGTTTAGATGCTACCAAAAGAATCTAGCCAGAGATATAATAAGGTTATCTACGATAATATAGTCGAAGTAGAAGATCTCTACTTCCATCCCATTTGTCCAAAATTTGAAGTCTTACAGTTTCAAAGTATCACTCAGCATATTCACTACTTGTGACAACCCAACCCACTCACCATCTTTCTGACTCCTATTGGACAAGTCCTGCGCCAGATCCATATCAACACTGCCATCAGAATCGGTGTCTCTGGAATCCCTTACCAGAAACTGGTTTTGCTGATGACTTGCAACACCCCAAGGCGTCACATCTACAGTTCTCCTTGGTCCACAATCACTCATCAGGGCCTCTATGGAAAAAGGCCTTGGCACTGGCTTGTTTCTGGGTTCACTTTCGACCGTCTTCAAAAACGTCTCACCAGATGGAAGTTCCATCATGACACCGCTGAATTTCACTTGTTTTTAGTCTTTACACACTGCCCATCTAGGGGCTTCACACATGAATCGCAGCTGAAACGCAACTGTTACGTTGACAGCTTCCATCTCTTGAGCGACGGGACAAGGAGAGGAGGGGCGAGTTTCGAAGCCACGCCCGCCTCTCCCCGTTGGCTACTGCTCTGCCAATGGCGCTGCCTCAATCATCGTAACTGTTGTGAACGTTCTGGAAGTTTAATTAACCGTAGAGAATTAGTTTTGCTGAGTGCCGCTCAATTTGGAAGCTGTAGCTATTGACCAATAAAATTTCAATGAGGCAATTGATGTGTGACGTTCAAGTTCGACTTTTGATGTTTTTGAGGGAGAGGGAGGCTGATGGTTATGTATGAGTGTGTACATTCTCTTGGATTTATGATCGAGGAGGGGGGAGGCTGGGGGATTTTGAAAGTTGTAATTGTGATGATGTAATGTTTATTCGGATGAGAGTTGGTGTTAACAAACACCCACTTATTTAATGTGGAAGCTTAGACAGTTTACTATGTTGGGTATGGAGAAAGTTACTTTAATCTTGATTTTGAATAGAAGATCAATCAATCCTTATCCTTCTGGCTTGGATAAGTTTCGTTAAACAAATGGAATTACATTACAATAAACAGCAATGAACAAACAAATTAACGAATATGTTCAATTAATTCACCGATAGTGTTGAAAAAAAGTCAAGAAAATATAGTCTAAATAACTGATATAGTAATTCTTAAAGCCATCGGCGAACTCAAAGGACAAAAAAACCAATACAAGGAAATAATGCCGTTACGAATTAGTCCACGTGGAGTGGATAATTTTTACTAACCGAGTTTTATGATTGGCTGAAGAGTCATAGAATTAAATTTGAAGTCATGTTGCGGTGACCAATAGGATGTAGCGATGAGTACCGGCGTTGTGTCGTCAATGTTCAGTTCAGGAACTGATCGCGATTTGAGTGTTGAAATTCGATATTGGTGAAGTTATAATTACTTGAAATTTTTGTTATTTGTTTAGAATGCGGCGTCCTTGGACAAGTACTAATAGTAATACCGAGTGTGATAACAACGCAGACTTTTTCCTGTGTAGTGATTCCAATTGCGCTGGTAAACAATGCGAACAAGAGATACTAGTGAATAAGACTCGGATGCATTTCAATATTGAAACACAAAGAGTATGTTTCAATGTATATAAGAATCTACATATCAAGTTTGGTTTCGAGGGAAAAAACTATTACAAGCAACATCAGATTTGACCGAAATTCCTTTCGCAACTGTACGTAAAATATTCAAAAACAAACCTTATTAACGCAAGACGCGATGTGATGCGGGATTACCAAAACCTTTAGATGTTCATCTAATAAAATCATTAAAAAAACAATATATGACTGTTACAAAAGTAATGAGATTCCTACAATTGAAATTATAAGGAAGAAATTGAATACTACCGGCCATAACGTCAGCTGCTGTAACAAAACTCTTCAGAATTGAATAAAGAAACTAGGATTTAGATTCAAAATAATAAACAAACGTCAAGCAGTTATGGAAAGCAGAATAATAATGTGATTGCGTAACAAATACTTAGAACAAATTTTCTATTTGGACGAAACTTGGTATGACACTCACGACACAGTTACGAAAGGGTGGACTGATGGTTCGAGAATGTCTACGCCTAACATGCCTGCAAACAAAGGATCGTGACTAATCATTGTGCATTGCGGAGGCAGTGAAGGATGGGTTCCGAATTCTTTGAAATTATATGGAAAAAACTTGAGGATTGCAATGTTGACTATCATAAGAACATGCTGGAAGCTGATATTTTTAAGGAATGGTTTGAAAACACATTGGTCCCAAATTTGGGTGCGAATAGTGTAAAAGTTCTTGACAACGCTTCCTATAATTTGCGACAGCTCATCAAAGTACCGAATAAAAATTCGAGAAAAGATGAAATACAAGGTTTTTGATTGAATATCATTTTGTATTTTGAAGATTTCTATACCAAAAAGCAACTACTTGAAGTTTTACAGACAAAAACATTTGAAAAAGAGTATGCCCTCGAGAGTATTGCTGAAAAGTATGGACACAGCATACTGAGACTCCCCCCCTATTTTTGTGTTTTTAATCCCATCTAGTTGATTTGGAAAAAATTGAAACAAAGCACCAGGCGTAAAAATGATTTTTCAAAATTTGATAATAATAGTTTCAATTAGAAGACCTAGCATTCCCAGGCATCATCTAACATCACCACGTAGGCAGATATAGCTACCTGCGTGACTTTCGGGTCCAGGATATAAATACAGAGATACGTGGTGATGTTAGATGATGCCTGGGAATGTTTGGTCTTCTAATTGAAACCACAAATGTGCGGTTAGCTCCTGTTGGTGACACCGTGCATGTGAAGTTTTTCATTTTTGGTAACCAGTTGTTGTCCATTCAACATTCTATAGAAACAGGACATAAACCAAATTACTCTAATATCACAGTTTTACATACAGAAAAAAATATATCCAAACGCCTTTTTCTTGAAATGGTTGAAATTAATAAGTCTTCTAATTGTATGAATAAGAGAACTGACATTGATAATCTCAGCAGTATATACAGTAACTTGCTGGAACTATACCAAAAGTCATATTGAAATTAATGAAAATTGTATCATTCAGCTTTCCCTTTAGAGTCAAAGATTATCAAATCATCATGCCCATTGAAAAATGACATTCATGTGAAGGTATGACATTTGTCAAACCAAAAAACTCCATTAATGTTTAACTTTTTTCGTCGATTTATATGTTCAATTAATTGTTTTTTACTCATTTTTACTGTAAGTATGATTTGTAATTTTATTCATTGGCAAAAAAACCCACTACTCAATAAATTATAGGCCCTGAAGAAGCTTCCCACTAGAAGCGAAAGCTTGGCAAAGTAAAGCAGAGTTTTTGATTTTTGATTTTTTGAATCACAATATAGTTATTGTGATTCTTATATAATCAGAAATGATTATTAAATAACTAATGAAATAATTAGTTAGCTCCTTAACTATATTATTAAAAGGGATCTGTTGGAAGGTAGGTTGCATTATATCGTTTTTGGCTTTCTACTAATTCATCTTGATACAAAAAAATGTAGAAATTTTCCAAAGAAGTAACTTTCAGACATAAACTGGAAGAGAAAGCTGTTTAGCAGGGATTTTTCTTCCAGTTGTGCCTGAAAGTTACTTATTGCATGACTTACACATCTATGTATAAAGTTACTTCTTTCAAAATTGATCACTTCCGTGCTTTCTTTGGAAAAATCCCACATTTTTTTGTATCAAGATGGAGTAGTAGAAAGCCGAAAACTTTCTTTCCTAAAAGGTAGTCACTCCTAAAAATATAACCCTTTAAATTTATGACATATATCTCTTATATTGTATAATTGAATATTGCATAGAGCTGACAAATACTCAGGCATAAAATTCAGGAGAAATGAATAAAATTTCGGAAATAACTTTGTGAGCCACGGTAAGAAATGAAATTTTGTAGTATATAAGCCTCATAATCAATATATCGAAGAATTATAGTTTTGAGTAGGCTTACAGGAATTATTCACATACTTATACATGCATTGAAAAACTTATAGGGAATTTTGTAGAATATTCGATAAAAAAAATTGTATCTAAATTTCATCTGGATTGTTGTTCAAAAAAAATAACACAAACAAATCAAAAATCGATAAAGATGTTTTTTTTCGATTTTTGTATTCATTTATTTGGGAATTGAAAAAAGAAAAGGTCAACAGAATATATTTTCTACTCATTTGTGTATTTCTTTTCTTCTGGAGTTTTATAGTCACTTTGATGTAGAAATTTTAAAACTTTGAGATTTTTTATGATAGTGATTTAACACTGAATTTTTTTTCAGAGTTCACTGTTAAAATAACATCATTTTTCAATTTGAATTATTTAACCCTTTCACAATATTCTGTTGTCAACAAGAATGATGAAAATTGCAGGAAGTGATACTTTTGAGATCATTGCTGCGAATTCTCAAAAGTAATTTCAAACCAAAACTTACCATTGATTCATTAGTTAGGTTCAAGATTTCCTCGTGATAATGAAGTTTCATAATCGTTCCCCAAGCTACTTCAGGCATTCATGGTTCTTCGTTTCATCGTCGACATCAAATTGACTCTCCAATTCTAACATCAAAAGCTTATTCCAGAGTGAATTAGCTCCAGTTCCACACTCATCAAAATTCATTATGCGATATTTCAAGAAATCTGCGTTCCATGGAAATGCTCTTGCAAATGCAAATGAACCATCAAGCGGCGAAAATGGGAAAGGGCAGGATCGGACTTCGATATTGTGTCCATACCAAACATTGAGAATAAATATTTGTTTGTTAATCGCAACATTTTTGATGATGATGATAATTTTTGAATATCACAGCATCAACAAAGTATCTGGTCCTGATAAAGTGGGTACCTGTCATCGTTCTTAAATCGACTGTCTTGTAAAAGACGTGCCTTTCTTTCTTATGGAAAGAAAGCTTGACTTTTGCTGGAAGAAGAATCTTTCAAAAAACTATCGACTAGTTCCTTTATAGATACGTTTTAAGTACATAACGTTCCAAAACTGAACGATAGGTATACATTCTCAAATACTTAGAATGCTTCATGATTTTGAGCGATCACCAGTATGGTTTTCGGAAGAAAAGATCGACAGGTGATTTGTTAGGTTAGGTTAGGTATCTACTATATAAAAATGGATGTTTGTTGGTTGGTTGGTTGGTAAGTGATAAACTTCTACATCGCTCAACCGATCGTGATGAAACTTGACATGTATAAGTAATTTTTCATAGAGAAGGTTTTTAGGCTATCAATTTTTCTGTAACTCACCACTAGATGGCGCTGTAGAACAATTTTTGAAAGCACTGTTCTATAACGCTGCGCACGCCTAAGTTCGTTGATTCTGATTCTGTCAAAACATCGGAAAAAAAGCGATACAGCAACAGAGTACTAGTTAAGTTGATTCAAAAGTTTTGTCCTTTTTAATTTCATGTTTTTGTATCTCCATAAT